GGGGGGGGGTGTTGACTGTTCACTAGGCAAGGATTTCTATGTGCATGTTGGCAGAGGTGACAGTCTGCAGACATCAGTCAATGGCACTAAAAATCTCACAAATGTCTTGAGGCTGGCACCCTGGCACTTGGAAGATGGCTGCAACCACCAACTGGGTGCTGATCTCTGAGGGTATCCCTGCAGGTGTGGTCCACTGTAGATCCTGCCAAATGGGTTTCCTGTTCTTTTGGCTGTGATGCTCAATGGATTTGTGATGCATTCTGGGAGGAGCACCTCTGTGTTCCTAGTGAAAAGCAGAGACTTGAACTTGGGTCAAGGAGCCTCCATAGCAGTGAACAGTGGTGCTCTAGGCATGCCCTCCTTGTCCTCCTGCTAACATGAACTAATGCAAGCTCATGTCTGTATTTAGCATCCAGCACAGCAGCCTTTGACAGTGCTCCATGCTTAAGCTTTAGCTGCAGAGTGCTTGAGCCTGCCTGCCCAAGCTGTTTCCTGCTGGATGTTGACTCTCTTTAAATGCTGTTGCTTTTAAACTCTCCACTCGCACAGTTGAAACTAAGCGGCCTACGGCTCTGTGCTGCTTGTCATTCCCCCTTTCTGAGCACTCCCTGCCTTTTGCAAGCTATATGGGAGGGGAGGACTGTGGAATCTGACCTTTATAGCTGCTGCCAGGAAGGCCAGAAACCTCTTGTGAACATCAGTACGGGAATCCTTGTTCCATGGGTGACTGGTGCCTCCCGAGACTGGAGGGAGGCATGAGCAGGAGGGGGGAAGGGGATCCCCCAGCAACCAGCTGGCAAGTGGGGGGGGGAGGGGTCCCCCAGTGGTTGCTCACCAAGCACACTGGCACTTCTGCATGTGGCATGGTGGCAGAGCCAAGTTTAGGGGGGGCACAAGCACTCTCTCTGTGCCTCCCTACCAGCTGGAGTGCTTGCTGTCGGGAGGGGGCGTATGCCCCCCTACACATTCCCTATGCCTTGCTGTGCTGGATGTCCCTGCTAGGCAACTGCCAGCTAACCAGTCCTGTGAGCCTGGAGGGTTTCCCTTGTAAGAGAAAAGAGCTTGCTTCCAGGTGTGTTCTGTGGTGTTTAGTTTAAAATTGCCAAGGGCCAGGGCTTGCTCCATTGACATGAAATGGTAACACTTTCACTGTCTCTGGTACAACTCAATCCTCCTCCCATCCGTTTCCATTGGAGGACATCTCCCAGCCTCGTCTAGAGTGTTCGTTGGTAGCTGCTCGGTTTAGCATGCAAAGGAATTACCAGGTCATGTCAGATGTGTGGTCTCTTTGTCCTACATCTCTAACAAATGATGCAAGAAGATAGAACAAGAAGCCCTGCATCAGGGATACTTGGGATAATCTGATCCTAGGGAAACAAGTGGGAGGAAAGCTTCGTCCTAACTTCCACCACAGCTAGCTCATGCCAGGAGGCGGAAGGGTTTGTATCATTCTTTCCTGAACCTGTTTGTTTGGGGGTTTTTTGGTTTTCAAACACTCTCACTTCTAGAACTGTAGGTAAACATTATAGATATAGATAATGAAGTAAATCCTACTAAAACTTATAGCCTTGACTTCCTGTGACAGTATGTGTCACAAACTTAAATAGGCACGTAAGTGGGGAGGAGGTCTTTCCTGTATTACACTGGTTTTCATTCTGGATGTCCTCTACCAATCCCATCTAATCCAAACCCCTGCACAAATGGTCCTCAGTGTATCCTATTATGGAAAAGGGGAAGAAGCCTTTCCTGTCCAAAGAATGGCACAAGTACATAGGGATTCATTTAAATTCCTAGACCCAAATGTCTTAAAATAATGGGTGGTAGTGTGTTTAAAGAGGAGGGGGGAGGAGTAGGGGATGTGATTGAATTTGCAAGCTAATTGTTTCCATATTGAGCATTTAATGGCCAACACCAAAAATATTTTGTTCCTTTTTTTTCTTAATCTGTTATCTTTCTGTTTGTCCTTGTCCTGCTGTCCAAATGTGGAGCCTCCATTTTTCTGGTCTTCAGTGTTGTTTATTCCACTAAACACTGTTTTTGGAACTTGTCATTTCATTGCACATGTGAGATGGAGGAGTGGAAAGTGGGGGAGGAGGGAGAGCTCCTCATCTTGCAGATCAGTTTTTACTTCTTTGATGGAGTTATTAGTTAATGCACACACGTGGTGAGCAGTCAAATACATTTGAAACTACCTTGCCTCCTCCCTTTGTCTACTTGAACTATAGTTGCTTTACGTGATGGCCAGATGTTCCATTAATGTTATCTCATGGCCTGAAGCCACTAGAAAAGAAAAAACAGGGTTTGAGAATATAATCTGAGCATTTTTTTTCTTTCCTTTTTTTCTTTGAACAGGGGAGGAGGAATTCTGCTTTTCTTCCTCCTCCCTTTCTGGACATGGTGTTTTCTCTAAAAAGGAGTTTTATTACACTGAAGTTCCAGCACATTGTTTTCTTTATCATGTTCTTGTACTAGTGATGGGAAGGGGGGTGTTGTTCTCTGAGCTTCTAGCTCCATCTGGAACATGAGATGTATTTTAATAGACTGTATTTCTCTGCAGGATTGAGAAGGAGTTTTGGGGGGTACTATCCCCCACCACCACCACTTCCATTCAAAATACGCTCGTGTCCTCTGTAATCCAAGTACTTGTGGCTTTTAACATTGTACTCTTGTAATTCTTTCTACGCTTCTGTTTTATACAATATTTCTGATGGTTCTGTACAGTAAAACACTTCTGCACACTTACTATATAGTTTAAAAAAAATAAATGATTGCAACCCACAAATGTCTGTTCGAATTTCAAGTGAAAATAAAATTCTTGTTTTGTAAAAGAATGTTTGGCTCATGGTAATGTGTCAACTTCCAAGTTGCCCTCTCCTAGGTGGGATGAAGTGTGTAGCTTTCCACGTTGGAAGCACTATCAAATGCTGGTTCAAACTCCTGAGTTCTTTGAAACAGAAGAATTGCTCTTTTTCTGCTAGTCAAGAGGTGAGTGAAAACTAAAATCTGGCATCTTTTGAGAAGTGCCTTGAATCTAACAAGCTTGAAAACCATTTTTCTAACTTGTAACTAGAGCTAATGAGAGACTTTTTCCCCAACTAAATTTCATTTTGAGGGGCTTAACAACCATGCAGAGTGTTCATACTGGGTGCGTCTACATGAGATGCTACTGCACAGTAGCATTGGCGGCACTAACAGTGATGCACAGCAAGCTACTGTGCAGTAGCAACAAGTTACTGTGCAGTAGCATCAAAAAGGTGCAGCTTCGGTACTGCGCAGTAAGAACTACATGATCCACCACTCATGTAGACGTGGCTGCTGTGGCACATCCTCTTAGCACCCCCCCCCCCCCACAAAAAAAAAAAAAAAAAGCTGGTGACCTAGGAAGAGGCTATGACCTTCCTGTGACAGCAAGTCACAACCATGTAGAGTCATGCAGGAGACATTAAAAGTGGCTTTTTGCTTCTGATCTATACAGAGAGGGAGAATATAGCCTCTGCTTTCTGTGGCAAAATAAGGACGAACCTCTGCTAGTTTTCCTCATGCTTTGCTCAGCATCTCCTTCAGACTCTCAGCTCCTGCCTTTAAAATGAATATGGGAGGCTGATTTTACAAGATGCGTTTGTTCCTTCAGCAACACCAACTGGAGCTGGCAGCA